CCCCATCCTCCCATCTCTCTCTCCCATCCTCCCATCTCTCTCCCTTATCCTCCCATCTCTCTCCCCCATCCTCCCATCTCCTAATCCTGACATCCCACCCTCTGAACATATAATTAAACGTCTAACTATTAATTTTTATTTTCCTCATTTGAATGTATAGATATATAATTCTATATAATATATAATGATACATATAATATATAATAATATATATAATGTGTAAAAATATATCTACTATATATATTAGATTAAATTTTCTAGTTATAAAATAAAATTATAATTTGTAAATGAAACATGATAATTCATATACCATATGATTCTGCATATATTGTATGTTTTCGTGGAATTAAGCATTTGATGCAAGTGCACGATCTAATAATTTATCAAAAATAATTTTAAAAGTTTAAAATTTTCAACGTGTTTTTTGAATACCCTGTATCTGTAGCTTGAACTAGTGACTAATCAGTCCTGAGGCGTTTCTAATTTTGTGTAATTGGTAGAATATCTAAACAATCTTAATCTATATTTAGTATATTAACATTAGGAGGAGCAGGCATCTTTAGAGACACACCAGATTTATTAGGGTAGAGGGGGGGGGGATGAACTATGAATACAGCTATTTTTAAATCACAGAACTGCGCGTAGATGAATAAAATAATGAACTTTTAGAAAAACGTTTTGCTAATCAAAGAAATTGAGTCTTTGCCACAAACTCTGATTTTATAATCTAAACATCTTTGCAATCCAATATCGCATTTCTTAGATATTTCAAACTATGAAATAATCTAAGTTTGAAATATCAAAGGTTTACACCATCAAATTTCAAAGATATAGGGATTAGAAACTTTGAGTTTGGGGCAAAGACTCATTTCCTTTCTTGAAAAAATATGAAAAAATTGACTTAATCTTCGAAAAGAATTTGTGGAACAACGACACCCCTTCACCCCAGCAAAAAAGTGTGCACTAGACAAAGGAAAAAGGACAAATGTACTGGTTCGACTTTGTGACCATTTAAAAAAAACTAGTTCAGGGCAGAGCGCTGCGGCCAGAACTGGCTAAATGGATCAACCAGGGCGGTTGCCATGTGATCATCAGTAAGATATTGTTAATGCAGTATTACATAGCTCATGATAATTTGTGAGCCGAGCACTGCGGATTGGACAGACCAGGGTGTCGAGCACAATAAGTATTTTAATGTCGGAGAAGAAGGGGCAAATTATAATTAGAATTTATTTTTCATTTTTGAGGTGAAGGACTTCATGAGCTAGGTAGTTGTTCCAAAGTGTCACAAGGTTTAGACTATCTGAATATTTTAGGTTTTCTTCAGGAATTCTTTTAACTAGTTTTTTTCTCACATTTTTAGTTAAATTTAGGTTTAAGATGTTGCATGCCTGAAATGGAGGTAAATATAAAAATCATGCCGCTAATAATATCTAATAATATCTAATAATATCTAATAATATCTAATAATATCTCCTGTTCCAAAAGTTAGCTAGGATACAGGGTTTAGTCGCACCTTAACATTTAATACGATCAGATAATTCTGGTCACAGAGAGTAAGAATGTATATAGAGTTCCAAGATCTTCTTGCAGACATTGAGTATATACGTGTTTAATGAAATTTAGATGGAATTTGTACACATAGAGTGAATTGACCTGTGTGACCCCCTCACCTTTAAGGTCTGATAAGGACATAGAAATGTCGAAAAATATTTACTGAAAAGTGTTCTCTATCTTTTTATTTCCAATCTGGGTTGGTTCAACCTTCCACCGACTGTATTAATAAAAAAATGCAACATTTTAATGAAATATTCAGCAAATTTTTTCTTTAAAAATCAAATTTTCCTGGGTTTTTCTATTCAAATTAAAGAGCATTTTCAATGTCGAAACTTTTTTTCAGAGAAAAATTGTTCAATTTCAACCAGTCCTTCCCTGGGGTCAACAAATTCGATGTTTGTACATTTTAGATAGTTTACTTAAAACTAGTTTAGAATATGTGCATTTTAAAATTTAAATACATTTTAGATTTGGTTACAAACAACACGGTATTCAAAGAATTGGTATGATAGGAATGTCAATAAACACTCAAATTCTCTTTTATTAGCTTATATGTATCTATTTAGAGAATCGAAAAGAAGAATTTTGACAACGAAAAAATTCCTTTTGAGAAATAAATGTACCCAAAATACATCATTCCCACACTACCAATGCTACTAAAATTCATTGGGTTCTTTTTTTATAAATCTGCTTTTTGTAAAGATTTGCCTAGTTATAAACTGTTATCTAAACGCTGGAGGAGGTGGTTTTAGCATGTTTTATACTGAATCTGATCCAGGTTATTTAGCCAGGCTTGTTTAGTATGTTAATACGAATATTGCGTGTATATACAGCATATAATACACTGACCAGTATTCAAGCTCATACAGGGTAGCTGGAGGAGCTGGTGGAGCTGGATGAGCTGGAGGAGCTGGAGGAGCTGGAGGAGCTGGAGGAGTTGGAGGAGCTGGAGGAGTTGGAGGAGCTGGAGGAGCTGGAGGAGCTGGAGGAGCTGGAGGAGTTGGAGGAGTTGCAGGCAATGTTGGTGCTGGATAAAACAAGATTTTCTTCAAATTCGAATAATTGTTTTATTTTAAGAAGTGTTCCTTAATTACAGCATGTCTGTGTATATGGTCTGCTGCGGTGCTTAGTTTTGTTTATTTTATGTTCGGGTTAATATACGAGGACCACCTTAAATATACTGAAGGCAGAGAAGGGAGGGGGGAC